CTTTTTTATCAGTTCTTGTTGACTCCACTTATGACATACCTGCTTGTTGAATTATGTCAAAGAATGACTATAGCTTCCTTAAGATCTCCTTCAAATCTCTTTTGGTCATTATTGGCCCAACCACTAGCTTTATGGTCACTTTGGGATAAGGTAGCCTTACCTTACCTTTTCCTTTACCTTAGCTATATCCAAGTAATGCTACTCTTCCTGAAATAATTTTGGAATCCTTTTTATCCACCTAGCTAGAGTCCTATTCTCTTTTCATCTTCATCATAGCGGGCTTATTTTCTTTTACCAAGCTGACACTCACATCAATTTTCTCCTCCTCACTTTTACCACAGCTGCAAAGATCAAATTTATCTTTCTTCTCCCTATCGTTCTCCACAGTAAATTGTTCCATTGCAGCTAAGTTCAAGTTTCTCCTCTTTGTCTAAAAGCTCTTTTAGAGTCTCTTGCTCCTTTTCACACCTGGTCATGTTTCTTTTCCCATTGTCCCCTCAAATTTTCTGCCCTAGAAATGTCTTCTGCCTTTCGCCATTCACTGTTCCCTAACTGTGACAGTCTGGTATTTTTTGACTTTTCACAGCTGTCTTCTCTGTGATAGTTTCCAAAGAGCTGTCTTACCAGATATATGCACARTGCCTCTAAAATATCCAGTTCCTTGGATTCATTTATATGCTCTCCTTTTATCATTAGCCAAATAGTTAAAAGCAGATAAAGGAATAGTCAGCAMAAACAAAGAGTGTATATTTTATTAAAAATGCTTATTCTAAGTATAAACGTATAATAAAATTATGATCTAAAATATATATGTATGACATATATAATGCACATAGGTATGTAATTATAACTATGATAATAATGCGTCCTTGTTTTGCAGCCTTATCTTCCTTTCATGTGTTATTAATCATCTTAAATGGTTACAGTTTTGGGAAGGCACCCCTAAGGGCTGTACATACAATATGGCTTCAGAACTATAACTATATGCATGCATATGCAACTATGATTATTACTCTCAGATAAATTCTCTGACAGATTTTCTTTTGCTTCAAAGTTAGCATGAGGGTGATACCCCAAGTAAATCTATTATTATTRCCCAAATAAATGTAATAATTTGATTACAAATTTTCTTCCATTGTAACAAAAAAAAAATCCCTTAAATTATTATACAACACTTTTCATCTTAATGCAGGGAAACCCAGAATAGTCTTTTGGAGATGAACTAAAATCCTGATAACACTTTGTTATGAAAAACATAGTTCACTAAAAAGCAAAATATGACCAATAATATGGTGGTTATTGATATGAGATGACACACTCAGGAATACTTCATGGAGATAGCATCAGTGATACAGGCTTTTTGTTGTAGAGAACAGAATAATGAGGCAGGTAAAGAATCTTTTGGAACAATTTGGTGTATTTTTTACTTGTATCAGGAATTTATCTGTATGGTTTAATAGCAAAGCTTACAGTAACTTCCATGATTTCTTAAATCTCAGCACCTAGCAATAGTTTCAGTTTCTAATGCTCTCATTAGTAGCTCTGTATAGGTTTACCTGTGTTTGTCAAAATAATCTACCTTCTTATACTAGKATCCTGGCTTATAAGGAAATTGAATGTACTACAAATTTAGCATAAATGTAGTACAAATGTACTATCAAATCTACTACATTCGGGCTAATTACTAGTCGTGGTAATTGGCAGTGCTATTCTTGGAAAGTACAGTTGATCTAAATTATCTAATTTAGCAAAATTAGCAAAAAAATTCAGCAAAAGCATTTGAAATTGGCACCAAAAGTTAGGTGGACAAGCCTCTATACAGATCAAAAAAGGTAAAACACTAAATGCTACATACTCAACCAAATCAAGGAGTTTTCTCTCTSTGTCTCTTTGGACACACTGATACTGCCATAAATAGCTCTGGTGAGGCCGCACCTGGAGTACTGTGTGCAGTTCTGGGCTCCCCAGTATAAGAGGGACGTGGAGCTTCTCGAGAGGGTCCAGAGAAGAGCAACTAAGATGATTAAGGGAATGGAACATCTCTCGTATGAGGAGAGACTGAGTGAGTTGGGCCTGTTTTCTCTGGAGAAGAGAAGGCTGAGAGGGGATATGATCAACGTGTATAAGTTCATGAAGGGAGAATGYAGGGAAGAAAGGGACAAGCTCTTTTCATTGGTGGCCAGCGACAGGACAAGGGGAAATGGSCAYAAGCTGGAGCACAGGAAGTTTCGTCTCCAGGTGAGRAGGAACTTCTTTACTGTTAGGGTGACAGAGCAGTGGAACAGGCTGCCCAGGGAGGTTGTGGAGTCTCCTTCTCTGGAGGTCTTCAAAACCCGCCTGGATGCCACCCTGTGCCGCATGCTCTAGGTGACCCTGCATGAGGGACTAGATGATCTCAAGAGGTCCCTTCCAACCTTGAATATTCTGTGATTCTGTGATTCTGTAGATAGGAAAGTTCCCTTCTTTCCTGTAGAAATTTATCTTTGCTCCCTACTTCAGTATTTTCATGGAAGTTGGTAAAGCTTTAAATTCAATCACCTGGCAAAGGAAAATATTTGATATCAAGAGCTATCTTCTTTTATTTTTTTCACCACATCTGTCATTTTGACATTTTATGGTCTCTGGCTGGTTTCCTTTGTCATGTACAGAAAACCCATAGCCACAAAGGGCATTTCCCCAGTTTCTTGTTCAGGGAAACAGCCACAAAAAAAGAGATCTTGAAAGCACTTTCTGTGTGAATAGGATCTGAGAATTTGAAAATCTTGGGGAAAAAAAAAAAAAAGAAACCAAAAGGAAAAAAATAAATAGCTCTGTGGACATGTATAAGGAAGCACTTTAGGGAAAAGAAAAAAAAAAAGGATTCATTGAAAGTATTGCAAAATAATACAAGGTCTTCTTTACAATCTAATGTATACTCATGTCACCTTTTCAAAAGTAAAACAAAGCTAGTGCTGTTTCTTACAGTTTCAATCTGTCCTTCACATGTGGTTGAATGTACCCCAGGATTGGCTGCCTTAAATKATATTTTTGGGGATCATTTAGTAAGTGTGCAAGGCAGCAGTGTAACTGTAGGTAGCAACTTAGTTCTTAAATTTGCATACAAAATAAATAATCCTTCTCTCACAAAAACAAGACATTGTAAAAAATGCCTTTTTACTGACTAAAAGCTGACAGCATACTTGTGTGAACAAGGCTAACTCTGTTCTTCATCATGTGCATCATTACCTCAGTAACACAGAAAGCACTGCTACTGCTGGACCACTTTTATTTGGAAATTAACAACAGAATTAAAATGTATGTTGTGACAAAAGCAGTAAATCTACTTTTTCCATAATATCAGTAAATCTACTTCCCCCCCTAATATCACCAAAATACTGTAGACGTGATGGATCTGAACAGACGTTGTTTGCAGCTAAATCAAGTTTGTGAACCTGTCATGGCCCAGGAGACTGTATGAAGGATCTCTGTAGTTGTCTTCCAAATAGTACTAAAAATTTGATAGGAAGTCAAGTGAAAGCACTATTTGTCCACAGCTTTTTTTTTAATACTAATTTGTAATTAATAGCAATATTGTGAGTACTGAAGGTTTTGTGATGTGGTGGAAATGATTTAAGTAGTATCTCATTGAATTCAGGATAATATAATATAATATAATATAATATAATATAATATAATATAATATAATATAATATAATATATATAATATCCATTATACCCATCATCTGTGATATATTAAAGAAAGAGGAACAAAATAGAAAAGGTGCTTAGCTGCAAGTTAAAAATCTTAGATGCATGGGAAGAACTATAGTTAGTGAAATAACAYAGCACCTTACATGTTTTTGGAACTCCATGGCTACCAAACCTATAAAATGCTGGAATTTGCCTTAACATAAAAGAAGCTAACAATTAATTGCCAGCARTGTATTCTGGTATGTAAGCTAATAAGTCATTTATGTGTTTATTTATATTTGAGCAAGTATTTATTGTATTCTTAAAAATATAGAGATTGACAGACAAAAACATAGTGGAATAATAACTGTGAACTGTGTAAGAAAAAGGAYTTGGTGAAGTACGGAGTTTTATTAGTGTCTCGCTGATTGAATCCCCATTAGACCCTTTGCTATGTCGTTTTTAGTAGCTGTTATTAATCTTGCACAAATTACCTCTTGTTTTGCAATAGTCCAGTTGCTAAGAGTAAGAGAATACTCCCAAGATATTGCTATCTGCTTTTGATTTTTTTAATGTTAACAAGCAAAAGAGATTTCCCTATTTGCAACTGATTTTCTTGGCAAACACAACTGGTTGTTAAAATATGTGCAGAATAAATCTTCTCTTTCTGATTATTCACCCTGAAAGAAATTTGGATCGTGACTCTGTGTTTTCTAGACCAGTGAAATCTTTGTACAGTTACAGCAGAATTGTCACTAGAATAGCGACATTTTTTCCTCTCCTCTCCTCTCCTCTCCTCTCCTCTCCTCTCCTCTCCTCTCCTCTCCTCTCCTCTTCCTCTTCCTCTTCCTCTTC